GTCTATCTCTACACTTATATGCATTTGCATTATTAACTCTAGACCACAGACAGAGTTACACACAAAAAATAATTTAATATTAAATAAATAAAACATTTGAATTAGCGAAATACGAATCTCATACGATTTATAAGCCAACAATGTAATATACCTTGACTTTACTCACTGAAAACTAAATCAAGATCATAGGAAAGATGCTTATTTTTTATAAATAAATGAGATGATTAAGATGCGCTACGTAGACACTGGTATTACTACATCCCTATCCCACTATAATTTTGTCACTATTTACACACTGGGGTGATAAGGACAAAACATTGAATAGCTATTTGAGGCATTTGCATTGTATGTACAAACTTTTAACAACGAACACACTATTGAAATAACAACACGGGGTCTATATAAATAAAAAGGACATTTAATTTTACTGTTTCCTGCCCATGGTACAAAAATCACTCCTCAAAAGCAGAGTTAACAAACATAATGCAAAGATGTTTCTTATAGTCGACCTAAATACAAATTATGTAGGAATTCGTATTCTCTTCGCTGCATACTGTGTTTGACATAATATATAACTGGTACTATCTGGGGGAGCGAGAAAACCTATGCTACTCTTCCTACAGACGCGCCTAGTCTATGGTTTAATTACCCCATCCAGTTCTATAACAACATTATGAGTAAACAAAATATAAAATAATTGTGCAATTAAATATTTACTAAATACTATTTTGCTCATTTTTCAGTTCATATAATTTAATACCAAAAACTAAAGCAAAAGTTCATGCCTATTTTCTGAAGGTGTATCTAAATTGTGAAAAAAAAAGTGTAAATATCTGGTAACATTATAATACCTAGCTAAATCGAAAAGATTTTCGACTGTCACAGATTATTTACTAAGTCTTAGTGTACTTCTAACTCAAATACGTAAATCTGAACAAATCTCAATATTGACAGAATGAAATGTTGAAATTTTTAAATAAGAGCCTTTATTTAAGACATTAAACGGTCTTTAATTGTCAGCCATCTTAATTTGACGTTAACTATATTGACATAAGGAATAAAAAACATGATGGGTAACGTTTTCGCGGGTAATTAGGCATTTGCTGATTAAATGTAAAATAATTTCTCGTCAATTAAGATCCAATATATTTCATTACCAATTGATTGCTAGTTATAAAAAATTGGTATAATTTACCTTGATTCTCTTTGATTGACCCAAGATTGTATATTGGATTTTCAATCGGGCATATCTATGCTAGTTACTGGTACGACGGGTTTTAAAGCTTCATTTTTCTTTTGATTCTTCTGTTTTCTATGGACTTTCTTTTCTTCGTCTCTATACGGTTCTTGATTAACAGGCGGTTCGTTCGGAACCGATCCGCGATTCACGTTATTATTATACGCAATATTTGCGTACTCTTGCAGTAAGGGAAACACTGATAGGAGGAACTGGCAGAAGTCTTTTCGAATCCCGAACCACCCTAAAAAAATGGTAAAGTCAAAGTCAAATCTATTTCATTTAAACCACCTAAAATAACACTTTTGAACGTCAAATAAAATATAACGATGATTCTAGTTGCCCCTTCCAAAAGGTAGTTTCGTGTGGAGATGAATAGCCAAGAAACTCCACACTTAGGCCCTTTCTCTTCTTCTTTTGAAAATACCGGTTTATCATGCAATATTTTGAATAATTAAGTTTTTTGTTAATAATTATATGTGATATGACAAGATTATTTTTTATTGTCTTCTAGAAATAAAACTACTATACAATGCAGCAGATAGTTCACTATTATTGTATTGTAAGTATACATAACTATACATTGTTTGGTCCAGGTTTTCCAGATTCTTTCAAATTTTGTAAAATTTTTATATATCTGTGTTTTTTTTTTTTTTTTCCTTTTTTTTTTTTGGCCCTTTTCCCCCCCCCCGTTCCTCACTAGTTATCAGATCGTTAAAACCACATATAAGTATAAGTACTGTTTAGTTTCTAATATTATACTTGCCGGACCGGGGCAATGCTATCTTTTAAAATAGGTTTACATTTTACATTAGTTAAATAATTATATGTGAAGACAATGTATTTAGAATAAAACTAGCTAAAATACCCCAAACCCCCAAAAAAAACAAAACCCCCCCCCCAAAACAAAAAAAAAAAAAAAAAAAAAAAAAATAAAAAAAACACAATAAAACAGTGTGTGAGATAAAAATAAAATAATTACATTTTGTAGTATTATAAAAATAACAAAAATATGTAAAAGCAAAAAATCAGCAACCAATTTGATTAAATATATTTGAATATATATTTTATGGTTGATGTGTTCAAACCGTGTAAAAATTTACGAGTGCTTTTTTTCAGTAAACGTGGTCAGCAAGAGAATGTCTTTACCTGTCCCTGTTAAATAAATTCGCGTTTATTTCCGTTTTATTTGTATTACATTTTTTATATTTATATTAATTTATAGCTTTCTTTAAGGATTTAATATATATGGGAGATCTCACCTGATCCAGTGTAACAGTAATTTAAAATAATTGTACAACTTGCTATATAATTATTTTAGTATGTACTCTATGTTACTAGTGCATGTTTGTGTGTTATGTGATTATGAAATTAAAAATATGTTTTACATAAATACTTACATTTATTACCTCCTTTGGAGCTGAATGACATGATAATCAGTGTAGCGTAAGTAACGAACAGTGGGCTGACCACTACGATGTATGTAAATCTGTTCTCTGGGCTGTCATCCAACTTATTCGTTAGTAGAACCTATGGATATAAATGGTTTCTTAAATAACAAATTAATCATGTTTTAAAGATGAAAGATTAGAATTCTTGTATGTTTAAAACAAAAACTAAAATATAAGAGGAGCAATTTTCAAAAGTTTTGATTAGTTTTTGTATTTTTAACCAAATATGCATTATTTTAAAGTGAAACTTTTATTACATCGTCTCAAACTTTTTCGTCTGTGTGTTGCATGTCGCGTGACGGTCGGCCGCGGAGTAGGAATAAAGTGAAAGGCGCTAGTCATAGCAGCCAAGGCCAATATGGCGGCGCCTATATTTTTAAATATGTGTATGTAATCTAAATACTTGTTATTTAATATATTATATATATAATCTAAATAATTGTAAAGTATTATTCGTATCTCGAAGACACAGAGTTCAATAAAAATATTAGTTTTAGACTTAGTCTACTTTTATTATTTCCCAATATTATTCCAATTTTCCAGGTATAAAATTAAGAGTGATAAAGCGATTTTTATACCCTTAATAGAATATTATTCCAAATTTTTTTAGTTAAATGTCTATAATGTGAAAAAAAATTTCACTTTTACCTTGGTATCATAAAACCACGCAATCCTTTTTTATCAATAAGGCACATATTTAATTCCAAAAAATGTTGAAAAAACAAACTTTCAGTGCGATTACATAACACGTAGTAACAAATAAACGAATCGCTGCTAGAAGAATGAAAATGGGTTTAGCGGTTTCTGATTTTTTTAAATTTCAAATAAAGTTGAACAGCTGAAGCATTTTAAATTAGGAATATTCAATGCTTTTCTAACCAGAAACACCAAAATAGGCACAACAGTGAATGTATAGGCCATGGCGGAGTTAAAGCTCGTTCTCCGTTGTTGAATGTTGGCTTCGGGCGAACGTAGAAGAATACCCGCAAACATTATGCTATATAGCACACCTGAAAATATAAAGAAAATATCTTAATTCAAAATGTATTGTAATTATCTAATTCCAATTGCCATTGGTCTACAGGACACAGGATACAAACCATCTACCTGCCCGAAGCAATCGGTTCTAATATATAAGTATTTGCTAAAGTAATTCACGAAATATCAGCAGATTCATGGGAGTTGGCGTATAAAGATTAAAATGTTCCAACTATTCAACTTGAATTCCTATTTTTAAACGAGTGAATACATCTCGCGTGATGCAACGTCAAATTAAAAATATAAATTAGTTGAATGAGGCTGGCGCCATCTAGTAATTTTGAACAGCTTTAAGACATTTTTAAAGCTGTATTGCTTTAAAGTATAATGCTTTAAAGATGTTTCATATTAAATTCTTACAGTTATTATATATTTACCATGAAATTTATTTTTATTAAGGACTAAAAGCGTCCAATAAGTATTTAATGCACATGACACTTGTGTTTATTTGGGGCCATATACCTAAACAGTGATGCTAATTTACAGGACACAGCGCAAACAATATGTAATAGAATGGTAAAAAAGAGTTTTGTATGGAAAACTAAGCAGCACTCTGTAAGTGTATTTGGAAATGTAAGCTAACATTGCTTCAATAAATTTGTGTGGTAAATACACAAATAATTAAATTGACAATAGTTTGCGCAAATGTTATGTATTGCTAGTGTTTGGCTTGGTAAAAAAAAATGAAATAAGATTAAATCAATGCAACTTTAGGGCAATTCTTGTTAGAAATTAGAAAAGATATATTTTCATCATTATTTGATGTTATCTTTAATACTTGAAATTATAATAGTTAAAACTATACTCACCAACCAAACTAAGACACATTAGTATCCAAAGAGGCACAAACACCACTTCCCAAGACCAAGTAATAATGGTATCTAATTTCAAAGCCAAAAATATGAATTGTAGAATGTTAACAGCACAAAATAGTTCCAGCTAAAAACAATTTTTATTATAAATATTTTACAAAGCAGACAGGGCATTTAAAATAATATGCTAACCATCTATGGACACCTGCAATTAATGGTGGCATTAGGGTCTTTAAGGATATGATACACTCTTTTGTTGAAGGTTTCTAGACCATTTTTGTTTGCAAAATACCCAGTGGCATCTCATTTGTCAGTAATTGTGCTCATCAAAAAAGAAATACAAGCACTAAACATTGATAATGCACTTGCCCTATTGTGTGTGACAGTTATATAATATGATAGGTTTTGAATCAATGTTGTTTAATACATTGGATAGGAATATAGGCTATAGTGAAACTCTACACAGTACACATATTTATATTAAATATGACTTTCCTTTCAGTATCAAATTATCATATTGACTACAATGAACTAACTATATATAGTTTGTTTCTTATTTACAATTTCTTTGTCATAAGATACTTAGTTATATAAGATAATAATTCAAGAGACTATAAAAAGTTATTGATACATACCTCATAACTCCGGTCATGTTTAACACACCATATACAAATAGCAATAGATACTATGCTTATAAATATTAATGGTATGAAGATAAGAATCCAAAAATGGCGATATGTAGTCAATTGGTCACACACAAGCAGCTCAAACATTAGCAATATTAAATGTATGGCAAGGCTAATGAGCATTGCCTTATAATGAATGTAGGCTTCACCTTCTAATCTGTAAATATATATTTGCTAGATTGATATATTTTTCTATAAAATTCTGTTATATAGAAGATAATTAAAGAAATTAAACTTAATAACAGAATAAGAATCACAAAGCAAGCTAAACACACCTGAAATGTGGATATTGCCACCAAACATAGGTTCCAATTGTAGCACCAAGAACCACAAGAAATTTCCAAATCCATATTGGTGCAAAAACTGACCAGTAGGACCAATCAATTGTGTTGTCCAACTTTAAAGCCAGTAATGCCGTAAAAATTGACAAACAAGTGTGCACGACGAATTTACTAGGAAAAAAAGGATATTATATTAAATAATAAATTATGAATAGTAAATATGTTTTATAAAATTTCCAAGAACTACCTGGGATTAAAATCCTGGAATAATGTTTGTAAATTCATTTCAGTGCACATTCACCTTGAATTAGAATTCTTAATCCACTGTAGCATTGCACTTTGTTGAACTGCGACTTCCACTTCTAACTTTGGAATCTAGATTCTCGAATATCTATTACAGTTAGAAAAGTGAGTTACGGTGACTTCTTGCGTGAAATAGTAGTATCTAAAAGAAAAAGTATGAAATATGAATATATAATAATATTTTTTTTAAATTAGACAGGTAAATATATGTTGATAGTTGATACTTGATTGCTGAATTTATTAAGACAGCACAGAGCACTAGCACAGCTTGGTCCTATGATCCCAGAGTATCCTAATATGATAGGAAAAAGACTGGCCCCTGTCGACTAAAATTGATTTGAATTTTCTTTTTGGTCCTCCTAATTTCAGCCTCTGTACCAAAATCAAATTTTAAGTGGGAAATAGGAATCCTGGGATTTGGGAATGACATTAGTCCGCGCTTTGTCACGTGACCATTTTCATACAAACTCGTTTGGAGTTGTCGAAAAGTGTTTTAGTCTTGAGACACTTGACACACTTGGGGGTTGAGCCCCTGCAATTTTCTAGCCAACCCGTGGCTAATAGCCCCTAATAATTCAGTTCAATTTAATTATATTGCTTTTCACCGACATACCTACTTTATTTTATTTTTTCGAAGCAATGCGAATCAAATTTATGTTTGAGCTAAATTTGATTCTTTTTTGCTATGTCAACCATCAATGTCAAATACAAATATTGTATATGTCGAGTGTCAAGACTTGTCTAATTTGAATTAGAAATATACTTTCAGAGGTGATTCAAAAAATAATAATAACTGCAAATAAATTATAAAGTAACATATTTATTTAATAAACAGCTACATTTAATTTGTAAGCCTTATAAGTTTAAATGGCTTCCCCTTCACCGAAATCTCCTGAACAAAACGAAAAAACCAAACAATACGACCGGCAACTACGACTTTGGGGTGATCATGGACAAGCAGCGCTTGAAAATGGTCATATCTGCCTAATTAACGCAACAGCTCTGGGTACAGAGATTCTAAAATCAATAGTTCTTCCTGGAGTTGGCGCCATAACTATAGTGGATGAAAACATAACCAGCGACGAGGACTTTGGGTGTAATTTCTTTCTTGAAACCTCTAGTAAAGGTTTAAACAGAGGCTCTGAAACTTTACGATTGTTATTAGAGCTTAATGGCGCCGTTCAGGGTCACTCAGTACAGGAACCGCCAGATCAAATTCTAAAAGATAATCCTGATTTTTTTAAATCATTTAGTACAGTCATTGCAACATCATTAAATGAGAAGTTAATAAAAGATTTATCACAGCACTTATGGGACTTAAACATTCCATTAATATTGTGTAGATCAGTTGGGTTTTTAGGCTCATTTAGAATACAGTTTAAAGAGCATGCTATTATTGAGACCCATCCCGATAATGAACGAGTTGATCTCCGTCTAGATGTTCCATTCCCTATTTTATCCCAGTATTTCGATAGCATTAATATCAGTACTCTTGACCTAAAAGATCATGGCCATGTCCCATGGATTGTCATTTTATACAAAGCTGTACAACAATGGCAAATCACTAATCTTGATAGATGGCCGATGAGCAGAAAAGAAAAAAATGAAATCAAAGAAATAATCCAGCAATATATAAGGATTGATGAAAATGGAGTGCCAATAACTGAAGAAAACTTTGAAGAAGCAATAAGGGCAGTAAATACAGCATTGCTTCCTACATTTCTACCTGTTAAAATACAGGATCTTATTTATAGCAGTGCAGCTATTAACTTGACTAAGGATAGTTCTGCATTTTGGATTATGAGTTCTGCCCTGAGAGGGTTTGTAGAAGCTGAAGGAAAAGGGAAGTTACCTGTCACAGGTGTGTTACCAGATATGACAGCTTCCACAGAACATTACGTAAAACTGCAAAATATTTATCGGTCTCAGGCTGCAGCAGATGCAGAGATAGTTTATAGAAAAGTACAACAAATAGTATCACAGCTACAATGTGACACTTTGAGTGAAGCTGAAGTCAAGCTATTTTGTAGGCATGCTCATGATTTGCATTTAATTAAAGGATCTAATATAGCTTTAGAATATCAACCTGGTGGCCCTGTAGCATCTTACATAGCTAGACATTTAGAAGAACCTGATGTAATGATGGTGCATTACATTCTATTAAGAGCGGCTGATATGTTTAGATCTGAACATTGTCGTGCTCCAGGGGAATGGGAGCCAGAAAGTGATATAGCAAAACTAAAAAATTGTGTCTCAAAAATATTGACTGATGTTTCTTGTTCCCCATTCCCTAAAGATGATCATATTCATGAAATGTGTCGTTATGGAGGTGCAGAAATCCATAGTGTGTCCGCTTTTCTTGGTGGTTGTGTGGCTCATGAAGCTATAAAACTAGTTACTAAGCAATATAATCCTGTTAATAATACATTTGTCTATGATGGAGCATCCACTAATTCTGCAACTTTTACATTTTAATAGTTTTACTAATCATATATTTTTGGTTTTCAATAAATCACTGCTAATATCATAGCAATTTTATTTTTAATTACTTTAACTTAGGGTTAGTGGTTACCTTTTAAATAAATGTACACTGTAGTTCTTGAAGAGTGTATTTTCTTTAAGGCATACTTTACTTACCTGCCATACTTTAGAAAAATGAAACTATGATTGTAAAAGATACATATTGCAATGAACATATAAACTTAATAAATTATGAAATGAAATTAATTGTAAATAGTCTTCTATTTTTAATTATAATTCTAATAAGATTCTTTTTCATATATACAGCAGTAAATCAAGCCATGATAAAATTCAATTGTTACTAGAATAACCTGACCTTAATTCCCAAGGTAAATTATTTGCTCAACATTAATATGACATTTATGAAAGTCAATACAGATCAAATTTCATTTATTTAAGATTTGCAGTAAGAAATACAGCTACTTTGTCAACAAATTTTAACAATAATTACATAAAAACAAATCACATGACTCAAAATTTTTTTTGGCTGAAATCCAGGTGGCAGATGCATTGGTAAAGTATCAATATAAATAACAGTACAGTGTTTATATTATGCATAATATACACCTGAAACTGTTGGTGTTAATACAACACAACATTTAAGATATCCCAAAGGACAACTGCAATTTTCACCTGAGCCAAAGTTTCAATCTCAATGCGTCTACACCATTAAGATAATATCTAAATAAGCGTTTGTCTCTAACAAATCCCAAATTTTCATACAGTTTTAGTGCAGGTTTATTTGTTATTTCTGTTTCTAATACAACTTCATCAGCGTTGTCATCAATCATGACCTGGAACGGGTAGAGCAAAATACATTGAACATGTAATACATTAATTTTATTCACATTATACATGTAAATATAAAAAATTTGAATACTCGTTAGTAAAATGAAACAACTGAATGTATACCAGTTAATGATCAAATAATAATAATTTGATAAACTTATTTTAGATATTTGCTCACCTGTATTGCTTGTTGAACCAACTTAGATCCAATACCTCTTTTTCTATATTTCTTATCAACTGCCAACATAGCAATGTAGCCTCTTTTAACAACATTGCGATGCATGTCTAACTTACATACAATGGCACCAATGCAATTTTTATCATCAATTGCCAAAAAGCAAAGCTTAGGCCAATTATGTATAAAATATCTATATGTGTAGATTGAATAAGGTTCAGATAAATCCTTCTGTATTAGTCTCATGATTTCAGGCATTTGTAACTCAGATTCATATGATACAATGAATATCTTTCCATCATTTTCTGTATCTTGAAAATGATTGTCATCTTTCTGGACACTATCAAGAGTCCTTTTCTCATTTGGTTCAGATGAACCATTTTTAGTATTATCCGTGTGTTGAGTTAAGTCACTACAATGTACACTATTTACAAGAGTATCTTCACATGGAGATTGTTGTTCTGACGAATCCTTAATAGGTTCATTATTAATTTTCGAATGTTCACTAGTGCCATTTGTTAGGTTATTGTGATGCTTTATATGAAGTGATTGTGATATCATTTCGTTCAACTTCTCTTCACTATTTTCTATACTCTTTCCGTCAGGTGTTTCTGAAGGATCTTTGGAATTGATTGATTTGTTTTTCACGCTTGTACATTTAGAATTTTCTTTCACGTTTCCTACGTGATCATCTGCACGTTGACTCATGTTTTTGTTCTTCTAACTATTTATAATTATTTACACATTCAACGACTGTAAGCTCATCCACCCATCACCTTTCCCATTAGTGAAATATTTTCTTGTCAAAATCATAGAAGAATATTACCGACATCTTGGGTGCTCAATATGCACTTTCCAATTATTCATAAAATTTTGTTTCCTTAGTTATAATAATATTTAATGACAAAGTAGCTAGTCGTCCTAAATTAGACATACGAAAATAATACTTTCAATTGAATAAAAATTTCAATAAAAGTGTTAATACGAGCCTTCTACAATCACATTGCAAAAAAGATGCCATAGATTTTCGACACTGACCATAGATGATACATGAAAGTGTATATGTACACATAGAATGAAATTTCCCTGACAACATTGTTTACAGATATTAATATAGAAAAAACACATCGAATCGTTTGGCTACAGCAAATTTTATCTTACTAATTTATTCGATGTTCAAATATTAATAATCGAATCCGAATATTATTTTATCTAACCTACGTAGTCTGTAAATGTTACATAGCTAAAAAATATGGGAGAAATTAAATTGGCAAAAAAGATATTATTAAACAAACACTTTATTGTTTAATGAATATAGTATGGTCAGGTATATTACTTTTATTACTACAGGTTAGTGACAATTTGTTTACTTATCAAATAAATTCTTTTAAAATGGCGTATACCTTTATTTTCTGTCGATGATTGAATTGGACAGAAAATAAAGGTTGTGTGATGGTTTGTTCGTGACTGAGTGGGTCTACGTGTGATTGTAATATTTGTTTTGGGTGTAATAATTTTAGTCTGTTTTGGCTGTAGTGTACGTAGAAAATTTTATGTATATCTGATCGTTAAACTTATTTATCGTCATCCTTAATTTAAAAGTAAATTTGTAGTATAATTCATAATTTATAAATTTATTAGAATATTTAACTTAAGCTTGTCTAATTTTCTACGTTTTTACTGGCCACCCTGGTATCTTAAACGGCAAGTGTTTTACTTGCCAGTTACTGCGTTGAGCGTTCATGTTCAATTATCAGTATTCAGTACCGGGATGATAGCCGGTGAGGCGGCGGCGTTATGTGTTTTTAGTGACTTACGATACGCGCGCCGCCTCTGCGTGAATTTCTGTAATTTTGTAAATAATTTTATACATTTACAACAGTTGTGCTATGTTATATCTGGTGGACTTAATTTATGTTTAGGACTTAAAAAAATATTTATAGGAGTGCTTCGTTATTATACAATTTTTATACAAACGACAATTACATGAGTGAATTTGTTAATAATTCATATTAATATATAAAATAATTCTTGGATTGTTAAAAAAGTCTATACATGGTGAAAAAATATCAAACGCTATAAAGTGCTAGTATGTTGTGCCGTGGTTAATTAACGAATTCAATCGGTTAATGTTGTAATTTTCCTAAATAGACTGTGAAAGTACGAATTTTGATGATTTCAAAATCGGCAATGGCGGAACGGGAACGACCCGCAAAAACCCCCATCAGGGTGGGATTTTATGACATAGAGAGAACCATTGGCAAGGGTAATTTTGCCGTCGTTAAATTAGCACGACATCGAATAACGAAGACTGAGGTAAGGAAACCCTTAATGTAAAATAATACATTTACAGTATTAAAGTGAACATGGGTACTCCTAATATACGTAGGTATAACTCAACTGCTTTAATATGCATTATGTTTTACCTAGTAGGTAATCTGGCTGAGTTCACAAGATTTGCTTGTATTATTATGACCTCTTGTAGTATTTGTCTTATGTAGACGTAGAATTATCCAGGTGTAAGTTTTATTGAGTACTTCATTAGCTTTAGCTGCAAAGATAGAATAATTATGTAGGTAACTAAATAAATTTCTTTATTTATCAATGCCATCAAACGGATTCAGAAGCGATTTAAAGGAAACATAACATTAGGTTTCTTTGTTATTAGACGGTCATGGAATTTTATTCTTCAAGAATAAGTACACAATTGCCATAATTATCTCTTATGCTAAGCCAACAGTTGATGGTTTACTTCGACGTATTCTAAAACTTTTTAGGCTTACTACCTAAATTGTGTAGTAATCCGTCTGCCGTCTGGTAAAGTAGTTAATGCGTCACGATGAATGATCACTGAAACTCGTGTGTTCTGCATTCTCATCCACGTGACTTCACTTTATGGGTAGAGGTCTTTACCATATACATATAAATATAGAAACAAAAGGTAGAAAGCATACTTACGGAACGTTCCTACGTTCTATACTTCTATTCTGGTATGTAGTCCTTTCTATAGTCTGTCTGCAACTGAACCACAAATAATATTAGAAATAACGTATTCAGTTAGCATAGAAATTGATTTGTTATTAATACGTTCTTTAAAAATCGTCACGTGCAACGACGTTCCAATTAAGTGTCAACTATTAATTAAATGGGACAATAACCTGCGTAACGATTAGATTGACGAACGTTCAATTTTTACTTTACTAGCTTCTTCCTACCAATTTGTCAAAAATATGTATATTTTATGGGACTAGTTTTATTTTTCAAATTACATCTACATGAAACATTTAAGTTAAACGATTTTTATTAAACCATGTTGTATCAGAAAATAAACCAATAAGTAATCCTACCAAAGAATTGGCTGGTTGATTAACCTAATTTAGGTTTATTAATTATTGTGTGCACAATTTATTGACGATGTGGTGTATGATAAAAAATCGAGGTATGGCTAAATGAAGGCATCCACGTTACGTACTCTTGAGTATTATTCGGCTCTTGAGTATACAGTTATAATTATTGCGGATTAGACAAAGGCATTTGAACTGAACACCTATCCAAGAAGTAGGTCGTTGGCCGAATACCGGCGTTGTCGTGAATGACTCACGTTATTTAAATGGACGACTACACTTTCAAACTTTGATTTATGTTTAATTAGAGACGCGTTTGTTTAGAAAGCCGCAGCAGACACAAGTGGATGGCGTGCTCAATGCACTGAAATAACGGATTGGTCGCGGCCTTCAGTTGAACATTGAACGAGATGTTTGCATTGTTGATATGCCACGAAACGTAATCAAATGAAGTGTTCCATTTTTGAATAGTATTTATTGAGTACAATAGAAAGGGTAACAGGATTTGTTACAGCATGCTGGCATACTCTCTTATTCTCTATAATCTGTTACCGTGTAAAATATAGATATTTTCTTAGAATTACGAAAAGAAAATTCGATCAATGCATAACGATTTGTTAATAAAAACAAGAGGTAGGAGGTAATGCGTATTTATCATTGTATCCCCATATGTTTGAAAACAGACTGCATACTATTTTCGTTCTATCGAATAGGTTAGTACTGACTTAACATCTGCGAAATATTTCGAAGAACATAATCATCAATCAGCAAAAGTCGGTTCAGCGTGAGGTCGATCCAGAAATATCGCGGCCTTGTGTGCGTTGCATGGATTTTTGGCTTTTTCCCGTTTACCATTAGCGCCAAGGTGATGGTCAATACTGTGTCATCACTTCGACAGATTGAATGTCACGTCTGTCGATCAAGTAACCTTCTTAAATAAATAGCAACCTACACGGATGTGCTGTGTTTGTGACTCAAAATGTGTAGTTCGCTGTTCTATGTTTACCTACTAAAACCTGATTGCTGAGAATGATATTTTGATATTAATGATGATTTTCTTAAGGCAAAAGACTGTTTTAAGACATATTATGGCTTCCTTTTATAAACTTTTGTTTCGCAGTCTAAAGGAAACTTGACCGTCGCAGTATTAAGATCTTAAAAGTTGTGGAAAATCGTCCGATAAATCCTCTTCCTTAGAGGAGAAAATCATTGTATTTCCCATCTTTTGACGAATGTTAGGCTAGCACGATTGCATGAAATGCGTGTTAATTGATCTCACGCGTTGATTCATACCAAAGACAGAAAGTGATCATGTTTACTTTGCGTGATCAGTCGTGAGAAGAATATACGATGCATATTTAAATGAGCTAATAAATATTAGCTTAATCGTGACTTTTGATCGAATATTTGCAGCTTAAGCATTTGTTAATATTTAATTCATGGATTAGATGGGGGACTTGAAGCTAAACGTCCTATATTATATTGAGTTCGATTTACGTTAGAAGCGCAAATTAAAATATACTTTGAAATTTATTCTTTAGTGAACCTCTCACGTGGCGGGGTGTATGAAAATTCGCTTACGCTAAGTCTGACTCCCGTACATAATAAGCCTATTGGATGTTGACATACAGAAGTCATAGATTGCGGTAAATTTTACCCTAAAACTTTTGTCAGCGACCTAGTATGGTAATTGCCGCTGTGCAGTTTCTTGTCGGCCTCTTTGAGTAGAATCCTTAAGGCGATCGGTTTTTGCGTGAGTTTTTTTTACTTTGACAGGAAATCTTCCGCCCAGTTCAGTTTACACTGGAGCGCTAAAAAATGTGCGCTTGACGCAAATGCGTTATCTATTTTGGACTTCTGCGTCAGAGTTTGTTATCTGCGCGATTTGGCGGTCACCACTTCTATATTTGTGGTTGGACTTTCTTTTCTGAAGGAATACAGTTTGGTCAAAGAGATATATCAATATTATGCGTAGAAAACAAAGCTTACTCCACAACTATACAACAGTTACCGATTCAGCTGCTTAGTCGCAAAACAAATACAAATGCATGTACAAATTATTTTATTTGGTTTTTGTTACACCACACATTGTCATCTATCCTCCCAATGTGGTATTAAAATGTTAAGCCTTCTTTTTTGTTTCATAACTACCGTACTTTCATGGTTTTATTTATATTATTAAAGCGTTTACTTAAGATGTATCACCTTTTCTTTAAAGAAGTAAACTTGTTCTACTATTTTCTTTAAACACATACTTACAATAAAATAAACAAGAAAATGTTATTCAACAAGATACATATGTACTTATGACGTCACGTATTTATTTATAAACCGCTTTGTATTATCTCTCGATAACTGTATCCA